CAAGATACATTTGTTTTAAGTACCAAACCATTTATGTAATTTTGCAGCTCAGAATATTACTCTGTTTCAGTGTCCTATGAATATTGGTAAGCAGACGATAAAAGCAATGTTGGCAATGCCCAAGTCAATGAGCTAAAACAGGAAGCTATAGCGTAAGGATTAGAGGAGCACTTCCAAGAACACACGACGCTCATCACTGCCATTTTTTGATTTACACTGAATTCATGCTTTCTTTAACCGTCAATTGTGGCTTTGTGAGGAACAGCAAATGAGCCAGTGTGGTACTTTAGAAAGCACAATGCTGCTCTCTTTTCTTAAGAGTTCTCAGGCAGGGAAGCTTAAGTTAGGAAAGTTTCAGTACCTTGAGTTCGCTCAGAAGTACAAAGTGCACTGGAAACATTTTGATTTTGTCTTTACATTCAAGCAGTCACAGATCACCACAAGTCAGCTAGATCACTGATGAAGCTTTCCACTGTCATTCACATTCTGCGTTTCTGATTTCTGTGCCCATTTTGTATAAAAAACAACACAACGTCCGACACTTGTTGTGTCAAGACAATTTTATATATCCCAGGCACATCGACTTTCAGTTGACGAAAAGAGCTGTTGAGGAAGGCTGGAGGAAGTTTGCAAAGACAGTGCTGTTGGTGGGTCTAGCTGTGGACAGAAGTACACAGGAAGTGGGCATAGATGTAAATGAAATGCACAGTGCTGTGGTAGAAAATCACTTTAAAGGTGTCTTTACTTATCTTTATCTCTAGAGAGACAGGAGAGCGAAAAAAGCAAAACTAAGTGTTTACTTCTGTTTAACATGATTCAGAAATGGGTTATTTGTTGATGCATTACTATCAAAGATCATTAGGTTTCTAGCTATGGGATAGCAAGATAGGAAACAGCTCACTCAGACACAGAACTGGTAAGTGTAGCATGTGTGAGGCACGTGTTGACTCATGCACGCTGATTCAAGAAAAGCAATGAGCCTATTTGCCCAATCTGCTCATGTTTCCCAGCTAGGAGTCACAGAAAGCAAAGCAAAACAATCACAAAAGGGTAGCAGAAGAAACTCCCTGAGTTGCATAATTGTATTGTAATTAAAACACTTTGCTATGTAGAACCCCCCCACAATCCCCCACAAAAAGACACTTCCTTGGCTGAAAGTAAAAAGGAAATTAGGCAGTAAAATGAACATCCTTTAAACGTTGCAAAAGGTGTTTAGAATAAAACAACAAAACATTAAAAGTATGCATCCACAAAACTACCACAATTCTAGTAAACATTTTTGTCTTTCAAAATCCTACTTCAAAACAAATGTAAAGTTCACTCTTTATATGCAAGAGCACTTACGGAGTTTTTTAGTGCACACAAAGATACTGTCAGCTGAGCTCTTCAAACAGCTGTATAATAAGATCTCGAGCACAGAGCTCAAACATCTGGAGCTCATACGAACGGGGCAGAGGGCAACGGGGTCTGCCGTGGTCGCTGACAGCACACACATCGCTTGTGTCCAGCTGACATGGTGCACAAACCAACACTGATATAAATGCCGGTCACACCGAGCAGAGACAGTGGTCAATGGTGTGTTCTCAATGGCGCCACTTGTATGTGTACTGAATTTCATACTCAGAAGTCAGCCAACCACATTTACAATCATCTTGTATTTATACACATATAATATACGTGTATACACCCATAACTCAGACAGTCACAGGGTAGAGCACCGGACTAGTATCGTGATGATCAGGTACCACTCACCACTTGCCCGGACATCATGGTGAACAATGGATAATCTCTCCTTGTCACAGAAGGCTCTTTTCAGAGCTTTAATTCTGAAATCGGAAATATTCTGATTTTGTCTGAATATGAAGGACAGGGGCAAGGCTAGAAACCGTGAGCACATTAAGCTGGAACAAACATTTACTTGGTTCTCTGATAACACCCAGAGTCACTGCACAGAGAACAGAACTGAGTACATAGACATACAGCTGCTATACATATGCGAGACCCTGAGAGACTACATTTTTACAATAAAAACTGGTTGTCAAGAAACTTAATTGATTTGTTTTCTTAATACAAAGCATGCAAAATGACTTCACACAAAGTGTGGAATGTTTCTGATGAATCTCAGAACATAAGAAAGGTTACAAAGGTGGAGCCCATTTGATCTGCCTAGATCTGCCGTTTGGTTTCTAGCAGTTTATTGATCTAAGAGTCTCATCAAGTGAATTCATGAAGCAACCCAAGGGCATCAGCTTCAATAAAATCATTGTCATTTTTTTCCCCAAACAAGAAAAGTATTGAAAATAGCAACTTTAACTTGTGTAACTCTTTAGATTTTCAAGTGAGGTTTACCACTATCCATTTCAAATATATTATTATAATAATGTAAGCTTGCTCTAAACTGCACTTTGCATGTGTTAGGTCTTCTGTTCTTCAGAGCTCACATGATCAAAGAGGTGACTGTGGTTAATGTCACACAAAAGCCACAGCCAAGCGGGGGCTTTCTGAAGTCACTTTATGTGCAAAGAAATACAAAACACCTGCTGCTCAGGTAGAGCAACACTGTCACGGGAAACAGAACTATTGAGGTCATACTTTCATGAAAGTTTCCAGATCACTTTTACACTTTCAGCCTGGTTGCTGAAAAGCCTTAAATCCTTCACACCCTGAGCTATTAAAGTGGCAAGAGCAAGAAAGCCCATCCTTGACTTGACAATGACTTTTCCCCCAGCCACAATGTTCCGGATATCTTTCTGGGATCCTTCAAGAAACTGCTGGATTGGAAGCCTGGATCAATAAGATAATCAATAATATGGCAACCAAATGAGTAAGACAGGCCTCCTCTTGTCTATAACCTTTCATAGGTTCATGTGATTAATAATTTAATCAACGAAACAGAGCTGGACATTGTTTCTAATTGGAAGACAGTTCATTTTGCTTGGGAACACAAACACACAATAAATGGTGTGCACGGTTCAGGCCCAGCATGCAATATTGTGCAGTTTTTCTAATTGCAAGGGGTTGGTGTAATGGTGGCTGCATTCTGAGTGCAATAAATAATCTAAAGACAAATCACCTGAAACTAGGACCGAAGTGGGAAAAAGGAACAGTGCTGCAGTACACTGATTTGGCAGGGGAGTGCAAAGTTAAGATCATGAAGGCCCCATTCGGCAGAGTAGTCTACAAGGTGAAACATGAGTGGACCCCAGTGCATGAGGGGACTTCTTGGCAGACCAGCGGTAAGAACAGAGGGCACTTACCCATTGCGCAGGAAGACTTTAAGAGTTCTCGTGCATATTGGGCAGTTAAAAGAGAAAGAACGGGAAGACCTTCAAAGCAGAGTCTTGGATAGACAGCCGGAGCTTCATCTGTTTAGAAACTGCAGCAGTTTCTCACACACTGGAGATCCTGCGGCTCACAATCAAGCCCCCCCCATCCCCGTCCCCCACAGCTACCTTTTCAACTCGGCGGCTCGGAGAGATCAGGCGACACACGCTGAGCTCCTCTTAGCGCACTGCTGGGGGAGTCTGCCTGCCGCTTCCTCTGTCTTGCAGCTTCGGCTCAGAGTCACAGTGGGCAATCGTGCCCCCGAAAGCTCCCTTCCAGCTAAAGCAGAGATCAAGGCACTCTCCTGGGGGGGCTTCATGTCCATTCCCAATGTACAGACACAAGCTGCATCACAGCTGGGCCCTCTCCGACCCTCTCCGAACCTCTCCGACCCTCTCCGAACCTCTCCAGCCCTCTCCGACCCTCTCCGACCCTATCCGACCCTCTCGGACCATCTCGGACCATCTCGGACCATCTCGGACCATCTCGGACCATCTCCGACCCTCTCCGACCCTCTCCGACCCTCTCCGACCCTCTCCGACCATCTCCGACCATCTCCGACCATCTCTGACCATCTCCGGGCCCTCTCCAGGCTTCTCAGAACCTCTCCAGGCCATCTCCAACCCTCTTTGACTCTTTCCAGCACAACTGGCTAGAAAGAAAGAGCCTTCAAGCAGAACATTTCCCTGCGGTCCACAGCCACCCAGAGACAGTGCCTACCACCTGGCGCTCACAACAGGAGGAAGAACCCGCCAGCGAACTGAAATTATTCTGCCTTAGCTACAGAGATAAAGAAAGTGTGAAACAGCTCTTTTCTTCTAGAAAGATTTTTAATGTGAAAAGGGAGGATAAAGTTACACTGGTGCAAAGAAATTCTGAAGTGATCACAGATGTATGAAGTCCACATCATGGCTGTGTGTGTGTGTGTGTGTGTGTGGTTTTTTTCTCCCCTATCTCCCTGGGGTGCCTGCTACAAAAACAACACTGCTCTCCCTGGATGTCTGCCTGACATACCAAACCTGATTCGTTAGTGGATATTTTTATTCCCCGTTACTAAATTAGGAAACCAGAAAGCGAGGCAAAGGATGTTGCCAAAGGAGAAGAAGGGCCTGCTCAAGATTCATTAGCTAAGGGCCTGAGCCAGACCAGCCAAGTTCTTTAAGAGCCACTCAGGCTTAAAAATAGAAGCATAGCAGGGACTAGGGCCAAACTGGGTCCCGTGCTCACTGCCAAAACCCGCGAGACAAACAAACAAATAAACAGCTTTTGTATGTACTGCCAGAGTCAATAGGAAACAGCCACCCTCAAGAGCTATAATAAGCTACCTTAGGAAGGCCAGCAAACAAGGTGCACATTGCACGAGTTTGAAAAATGTCTTTAGTACAGCTTTAAATAGACTAGTTGGTCACCTTTTGAAAAATAAATTAGTACTTTCATGTTTGATGATGTTTCTGGATTTTTTTCGGGACTGCAGAAAAAACGCTGGATGGAGGAAAAGTATTCTACCGTCCCCCAGCTCACAGCCGAGTCCAGCGCCCAGACGGAGAGAAGGCGCCATGTGCAGAGGCAGAAGGCGAAGAAGAGGAGGAAGAGGAGGAGGAGGAAGGGACAGCAGATGGAGGCTCCGCGTGCGAGTAACTGGTTTCGGATGAGCGCAGCACTGGAGCACAGCGTACCTGGGGGAAGGGACTTCAGCTGATTGTTTGCCAGGCGCAGGTGTCGCAGGGAGCGCAGGCGGCCGAGCTCCGGGCACAGGACCTGCAAGGCATTGTCGCTCAGGTCCAGGGACTGCAGCTTGGCCAGGCTTCCGATAGCTAGACACAAGGAACACTGACGTTACCAACAGTCAAGCGGTTGGCCATGTCCTTTTCCTTCTCTCCCTATATCCCATAGGACGACTTACAACACACTCACAACTCTCTCATGTGCACCACCTCTGAAATAATCAGCATTTAATACCCCCCCAATTCATCTCCGTCAACATAGACCTACAATCAAACCAAAGTTTAGTCATCATAAATCACCCCGATATTAAATACTGAACATTACACTCAAAACTCCAGATGATCTGATTCGCTGTGTGAGTGTTGATCCTACACACGGCCTCAGTAAACACTGCGGGATCAGTCAGTGAAAATCCTTCTCAAACAGCATCTACTCTCTCTAAGGTCCATTAACAGGGAGTAGTAAGGGCTTGCTCCTGTCTTCAAAAAAGCAACTGACTGTGAGAAAAGCTCAGACCCAGTAGGTAAGGACACTGTTATTACCAGGGACAGGACCATAAAACATGCTAGAACGTCTCAGAGCATGATATCGACCAGCTGGGATCAGGCAAAGCTAAAACTGTGTGCAACACCCTGAGCACCTTCACACCATTTCAGGAACAAGATATTCTAACTTCACTGCCACTGCTAAACATCTGCTAGACAAAAGCTTCTTGGTTATTTTTTAAACTTACTTATACTGTAGACCATGCATGCAAAGAGCTAAAAAACAAAATTTCAAAGCAAGGTAGCTTAAGAAGTAATATAGATAAAAATTCCCTTATCTCCCTGATAACTGGCCAATGAAGAACAGGCATGCTTACCAATCTTACGAGAATTCTACAATGGGTGTATGCAAAACTACAAATATTAGCCCAATAATAAACCCCTCTGTATCTGCAGACAAAGTGCCCTGGCCGGTTACGGACAGAATCTGATTCTCGAGCTCTGATATTTCAGAGATCACAAATGTAACACACACTCAGAGCTTTCTACTGTCACTGTACAATTACAACAGGAAAAGTAAACATCCGATAAACATCACACAGCCCCCCTGCTAGATCAAGGTTATCTTACATGGGTCTACCACGGGCTTGTTCTGAGATCTGCTGCCAGAGAGGCCAGCACATGGCACAGCCAGCTTCGTGAGGTCTGAGAGCTGCAGTGTCCCGTGGGCCTCTTCTCCAGTTGTTTCCTAAATGCTGTACTCCCAACCCAAAACATTTCTACGTTACAAGTGACTTAACTTCAGTACCACAGATACCACAAGAATTTATTAGGCCTATGGGCACAAGTTACCAAAACCACACCAATAACAGCTTCCTGATGTCCTCGGCGTTCATCTCCAACATTGAGGAGGAAGCCGTTTCATTTTTGGATCAAACGTCATGCTTCTCTCGCTAATGCCAAGTTATAGGCCAAGAGCTGCAATAACTTTCAATGAATCATTAGCGGAAAAATTATTGATAAAAAATTAATAAAAGAAAAAGCCCACAGCAGGGCATTTCACTGAGCCAGTGCAGATGAAGTACTGTACCGGGATCCAGTGTCCCACCTGGATCACCTGGATACCGGGATAACACCTACCTTCCAGTTATCCCCGTCTAATTGAAAGAAGAGGAAATTCCATATCTTAACCAGAATACTGTCAATCTACGTAACCTGAATTTCCTCTGTATTTCCAAACACATTTTGAGCTACAATGTACCACCCATATCAATTTAACTTGAAGTGCAATGCAAGCAGACTGTGCGATATGTAACAAACTACATAAAGAATTACCTTCTGGAATGATGTCAATGTTGTTGGAACGGAGATACCTTTAAAAAAAGAAACAAAACTGAGAATTGTTAACAAATGCCAACAAAATAATCTTTGATTAAATAAATAGGTGTATTTAATGGGCAAATCATTATATTTTATATATCACATGCATCGCACAGAAATAACAGATACTGTAATCTAGGAGTGTTGCATAAACATGTTGCTCAGTTGAGCACCCCCCAAAGTCACTGTGACCCAAATCAGCATTTTATTAGCCTCTTATCTCTTGCATCTCTAGCTCTGCAACTGAAATCAAGACACCACTGCTGTGGGAGGTGAGACCAAGTTTATTAAGAGTGTACCTGCGCAACTTTTTGAAGGTGAGGAACCAGTGCCAGGAATCCATAGACTGCACTACATGTTACTGTAAATTAATCCATCAAAACAGCATCAGCAGCACTGATGAACAAGTCTAGACAAGCCAGAGGCCTGAACAAAAGATGTTGTGAGCAATTCTCTAGTGACACCTAATGGATCACAGTCGCTATGCACACCCACAAACAATACCTCAAGCTCCACTGCTTCAATCCCTGTAGGAATAGAGTGCAGAACAAGGGCAGTCGTGCGTACAATACAACCAGCTATCTTTATATCTGAGGCACCCAGATGTGCCTGTAATACTTTAACACTTTATACACTATTCTGCACAAATATCTGTAACAGCAAGCGACCCACACACAAGGGACAGTGGTGTGGTGCTTAGCACTGCTGCCTCACAGATCGGGGGTCCCAAGTTCGGTTTCAGACTGGGGTACCTTCTGTGTGGTGTGTGCATGTCCTCCCTGAGTTTGTGCAGCCTTTTTCGGAGGTTTCTGGTTTCCTCCCAGAACACGACTGCTTGATTGCCTGTAGTCTGTGAAGCGTCGCTGTACGCGCGTTAGGGTACAGACCCCGTGAGGAAGTGGGGGTGCCTCATTCAGGGTACAATTCTGCAACTCAGTGCTTCTGGGATGGGCGCCATGACGCAAGCTCATGAGAATCATCAAGGGCTCTGCTCCTCAACCCACCCCTCTCTGGCGGAGCTAGTTTGGACACGGTGATGTCATCGCGAAGCAGGGACCTCAGCCGCCTGGGCTCCCTCGGCTGGTTCCCTGTTGTGTTACACAGGAGACCTGGGTTCACGCCCCAGGTGTTGCGGGACGAACCGGCGGGGTGGAGCAGCGAGGGCACGGAGCCCATCGGAACCGCGACGGTCACACCTCATCCTCATTACCTCAACGAGGACAGGATGCGACTCACCGGGCAGATGCAAGTGAAGTTGCAGAATGGCAGACCACACTAGATGCGACTCAGAAACAAAACAAAATGCACAGAATCCCTGCACCCTGCCTGTGCATTTCTAGAGGTCCCAGCCTACCACACAGGCCTTGTTTCCAGCAGAGCTGCACAACAGTACCGCAATAAAAACGCAGATACAGTACATACTGCTACAAACGTGCTATGAAAATGATGATCTCAAGGAATGTTTGAGAGTAATTAATTATCTTATCCATGTCAACAGACATATTATCGATAAGAAGCCGTAGTAGCAATAATAATAATAATAATAACCAGCTTTATTTCATTAAGTGTCTTCAACACAAAATACCGAACAGTGCTGTTCTTATTGAAAATCATGACAGGTGTCCCAATTTAATATGAATAAGATTTCACTATCAGATACCTCATGATTTTCTGCAACACTGCACAATATTACATAGTACTTGTAATACACTTACACTTAATACACTTGTAATATACAGCATAATTTAACTTAATCTTCTAAATTTAAGAAATGTCAACATCTCCTCCTTGCGGTCTGGTATTTGATGTTGAGGTGTGTCAGAAGTGTTTAAATTTGCTTTTGATTGGTCAGTTTTCCAGTCACAAGACAAAAATAACTCAGAGACAGGCTTGCCTCTGGCATGGATACTTCCATCATACTACAAACACTTTTAAGTTATTTCCAGTGTGTATACACCTCACGAAGCAGCATCTGTATTTAGGATTAAAATCTGCTGTTCATTGCAAGGACACAAACCCGCAAGTTCCAGACCTGCCCAACCCTGGTCTAAGCAAGGAAATAAATAACTCAAAGCTGTCCTAAAGTTTACACCAGGGTTGTGATCAGCATTATGCATTTTCTCCTAGTTGATTAAACACATTTTCTTTTACACGTAAAAAAGTCTCCACTGTTCTCTCTCTACACATGGGTTCAGCAAAAGCCAGGTTTAAGGATAGGGTGCTGTAATTATAAATTCACAGAACAATTATTCAAGTACTTAACAGTTCCTGGTAGGGCTTATAGTAATATTGATCGAGGTGATGGGCACTTAAAATTCAGCACCAGCTGCAAGAGTCTGTATTAATCAGACCCCTGTGGGAAGAAACACACAAACCCAATTCACCTGGTGAGAGAGAAAAGGAGCTCCTCACAAAGCCATCATTCCAAGTTTCATTTAGGGGTCTTAATGATGTGTGAACTGGTTCCTAATTAAGACAGGATTTGTTTTCACTTGATTACACCTGGAGTAACCCGACAAATAATCATCAGGGAGATCTATGTAGGAACTTCCCCTAACCAATTGTTTTTTACATCTCCAAGTGAGCCCAACTGCAAATAAGCAAATAATCATCTCATGCAGTTCCAGGTGAAATCATGACTGTAACTGACAAATTCCGTGCCGTCTGTGTAGCGCGTTTCATCCCAGTGGACCCCCTCTGCCCAGTGGCACCTCTCCGCCCGGGCTTCCCGGCCAGGAATAAAAGCAGGAGTTTCCCACCTCGGCCCCCGAGTCAGGAGAACGGGTCTCTCGTTGGGCCACCGCTTCTCCCAGAGGAAAACACCCCCGGCAAAACAAAAACACCGGCCGAAGCCATGGCCATTCCGGGAAACACAGGGACCTTGGAATGCCACCGAATGATGAAATACGATGATCACACTAATTAGATTTCCACCTCGCTGGAGAAAGCACTTATTAAATGTCTCAATTGAAGAGGACGGCTACTTTCAGTGGAGGACAAATATACAGCAACGTGTGTACTTTCACACTCCTGGCCAATGGACTGAATCCTATAAAACAAATCCAGCTACCCAAGCAACTTTAATGGAACAATATGCAACATAAGTGTTTTCAGACCATTCACTGTCCTGCCCTGCTCCATCACACTCCACTTCGATGAGGATTTTTATTCAAGTGTTGAAATGAAATAAAATGTTTTTGAATTATTTATAACTCTAATTATGAATGCTTCTGCACTCTGGCCTGGCGTTCACTACATGCTCTCCGTCGAAGGGGAAGCATTAGAAACAGAATTTGAGTTGGCACGTTTATTAAAACACAATTTATTTCTCATCTGGGGAAACTCACCCGCAGCTTGAAAACACTTGTAAAGCCCAACTCCTCTTTTTTAAGGAAAAAAGAAATCCCTTGGAACTGACTGAATGACTTGCTTGTTTCAGCTGTGGACAGTAAAGAGTATTTAAAGGCTGGCAGAACGATTCTGGTCAAGCTGGTTTTGAGCTGTTTTTAAATCAAGTCCCATGACTTGAATTTTCGCAAAGAGAAATGATTTTTCAGGGTCAGTTTAGTCTGTAGTGCGATGTGTAGAGTATACTCACAGTTCAATGAGATTTGGTAGCTTCTGGGCAAGATTTTCTGGCTGTAAAATACAAGCAAGGCAAAGAAGAGACAAAGATCATTGACACCAAAATCCATATGCAAAATACACCAAGAGCCAATAAAAATATATTTCTAGCAACAAAATCAATTTTATGGCTTTCATGGCTTTATCCATGTAATAAGCACAGTTCACATTGGAAAGGGCCGGCTGTGATGTAATGGAGGACATGAAAATGCACAGAGGTCGCTGTGTAACCCTGGCTGTGCACAGACATGCTCTCTGTCCGTCAAGCTGGACTAACAGTGGACAGGTAAGAATGCCCTGTAAAAGGACATCACAACTCAACATTAGTAACTCCCCGTGCCAACACATCTCCTCCATTACACAGTTCAGTCCAAATCACTCTCCCTGGCGCCGAGAGACCCAGAGTCAGCTAACAGCAGAGCCCACATTAAACCTCATAACAAGATCATAAACATCATTAAGAATGACATCTTCCGATCTTCTGTGAGGTTTCCTGCGCTGGCTGACCATCGTTTCTCTGCAACTTGATGCGAACAGGTAAGGATTTGGCGGTGACATGGCCTAGAGTCCCACAAACCATCGCGTGCCGGATATCTCTGGACAGTTCTGTAACTCGCTGCCCTGTTTCGAGTCTCGCTCACTGTCTCTGTCGGACAGCTGGCCAATTCAAACCAGTTGCAAAGGTCGTGTTTGCCAGTGGCCACAGGCTGGATGACAGAACTAAGACAACCACAAAATGTCCATAAACACTCTGATGTTAACAGATAACGTCAACGGACAGACTACTGTACTAGTCCACAGCTCCAGGGTCTTGGGTTTGATTCGTGTAGAGGCAGAGAGACTGGGAAACTACAGTCAACACCTGATGCTGTTCTGTAGTCATTGAGCGTACAGAAAGAAAATGACGACCTCTGTTGAGCTAAACGGCCTATTTTTGCCATTAGCTTATCTTGTGTTGAAATAAAATGCACAGAAACTGACATGTAAGTATATATTAAATTATATTGCGGAGCCATTTGACCTTTAGGAGCTGTCGATGGGACCACCGCTTATCACTATCCTCAAGGATCTAGCTAATAACACCAACTAGTGCCAAGGCTACAGGCAGTAACAAAACAAAATTCTTACAGATTTGTGCAGGTCCGTCACTTTAATTGCAAGACGAAAAATGACATCTTTCCATACTGAACCTGCCAAGCACATTTTCTTGATAATGCATACAATTTCGACAACATTTCATAAAAAAAAAAAACTCGCTTGAGATTCAGGCCTATTACAGCCGACTTTTACGGGCACCATTGACCAAATACAGCTGAAGACAAGTCAAATGTGTGTTTCCCGAACAGGACAGCAATGCCGACGTTGCGACGTTGTATTTTTTTTTTTCGTTGCCCACACACCATTCCTGTAACACACCGGGTTAGACCGCGTCTTCTCGGTTTCAGCAGCGCCACGTCGGGCCGGCAGGGTGTCGGGCTCAGGCACGGCGCTCCCAGCACAGGTGTCAATGAGGACGCAGCTAAAAATGCCGCGGCGGGTGCGGGACACTGAAGAGTGGCCGGAGAGAGGCAGGCAGCCCGAGACGCGTCGTGTTCGCACCGGGTTAAGTCCGCTGAGTGACAGCGGCCTGGGGAGCTGCTGCTGGAGGCCAGGCAGGCCGACTGCTGCCAGACCAGCGGTGCGGCGTGAAAATAAACACGCCGTGGGAGGAGAGCAGGGGGCTCAGGTGCGCGGAGCAGAGACCAGCAGACCGGGGGCGACCCCTTGTGCAGAGCAGCAGTGGCTTTGTCTGTCTGAATTACTGCAGGAAGCAGACTGGGCCGCGGCTGTCTGTGTGACGGGCAGGGCAAAGTACTCGGACGTCTATCAGGAAGGTCACCTGATTTCAAAGCATTTTGGCACCAGGTCAACACCGTACAAAACGGAAGGGGGTCAAAGTATCACAATTTAAATGTAAATTTCTGAGATTTACATGATGTTTGGAAACATTCAAAGTTTACAGGGTATTGCTGAAGTCGCAAGTGGCGTGTCAAAGGTATTCTTTTTTAAATGCGTTTTTTTTCCGTTTCAAATTTGTATTGAACATCAAATAATACAACCCAAATAGAAAACGTAAAAAGATAAATGAACAGAAAAAAAACACTGCCAGACGGAATTATAAATCATTTAGAAATTTAAATTTAATGTAAATAGTTTTTTTTTATTGAACATGATCTTGTAACACATACAGCCACCATTGCAGGTTGTTCGAGCCGGCTTACCAGCGCGGTGACGTCACCGCCCTTCCCTGTGAATAGCAGGGACCGTGCACTATTTACATTACCCGGAGGCCCGGGTTCGAGTCCCCGACTGTGGGGGGCCGACCTGGGGCGGCAGCGGCGAGGGCGCATACCTACGTGAATCCCGGAGCGCTACAATTATCTACCCAGTTTTACTAACGTGTCAAGGCGCTGACGTCATTGTGACGGCGGCTGCGCTCAAGGTCTTATAAGGCGCTTGGCCCGCGCAGTAGCGTGTGGCTTGCGCGCGGACGGTAGTGGGGTGGTTCCGCAGGACTGGGTGCTGATCGCGAAGACCGGGCCGGCTGCGGACAGTCTGGCGGGTCGTGCCGGGAAACGGGCTGGCTGGATGGCTGGCGTCATGCTCTGGAAGGCGCGGACTGGCTCGGTGAGCTACCGGGGCATCCCAGGGCGCCCTACGG